GAGAGAGAAAGAAAGAAAGAAAGAAAGAAAGAAAGAAAGAAAGAAAGAAAGAAAGAAAGAAAGAAAGAAAGAAAGAAAGAAAGAAAGAAAGAGCTGCCAGTTTTATATGGAACTATACCAAGATGGAATATATGACCTGGATTTCAAAGTAAGAGTCTAGCACAGTGGTTAAATGGCCCGAATTCCGGAGTCAGGACAACCTGAGTTGGAAGATTGGATCTGGCTTCTCTTGTAAGAACTTGAGGAAAGCTCCTCCCTTAACCCTGGAAAGCCTCGATTGCTCCATTGGTATAAGAAGATGATGATCACAGTACCTGCCTCTAAGGTTTATTTTGAGGACTAAAGTGAATCCAAAGTCCTCAAACCCTGCCTAGCTGATAGTGAGCCTTGGTAAATATGAACAATTATTACATTCTCATTTTCCTGTTTTTTAAACAGCCCTCATTTTTTTTAGAGCAGATTTAGGTTCAGACCAAAATTAAGCAGCAAGTACAGAGATTCCCATATACTCCCTGTCACAACACGTGTACAACCTTTCCCATAATTAACATCCCACACCAGAGAGGACATCTGTTGTAACTGATGAGCCTACACTGTGACATCATTATCCCCCAGAGTCCACAGTTTACATTAAGATTCACTCTTAGTGTTGTACATTCTGTGGGGTTTGACAAATGAATGATGGCATGTATTCACGATTGCTGTATCATACAGGATAGTTTAACTGCCCTGAAAATTCTCCATGTTCCTCTAATTTATTCCTCCCCACCCCATCTCTGGAAACCTCTGATCCTTTTACTGTCCCCATATTTTTTCCTTTTCCAGAATTTCACTGAGCTGGAATCATATAGTATGCAGCCTCTTCAGACTGGCTTCTTTCATTAAGTAAGAGGCGTTTAAGGTTCCTCCATATCTTTTCATGACTTGATAGCTCATTTCTTTTTAGTATTGAATAACATTCTGTTGTCTGGATGTTCCACAGCTTATTTATTCATTAACCTACTGAAGAACATCTTGGTTGATTCCAAGATTTGGCAATTATAGATAAAGTTGCTATAAACATCCTTATGTGGGTTCCTCTGTGGACGTAAGTTTTCAACTCATTTGGGTAAATACCAAGGATTGTAATTGCTGAATCACATGGTAAGAGTGTGTTTAATTTAATAAGAAATGGTTCCATTTTCTTCCAAAGTGGCTGCACCTTTTTGCATTCCCATCAGCCATGAAGGAGAGCTCCTACTGCTCCACATCCTTGCCAGCATTTGGTATTGCCAGTGTTTTGGATTGTGGCCATTCTAATAGGTGTGTAGTGGCATCTCATTGTTGTTTTAACTAGCAATTCCATAATGACATATAATGTTGAGTCGTTTTTTTATTGATTTTTATTATCCTATAAGGTTTCTGTAGGAATGAGATGAACCGATAGAAAAGAGATTAGCACAGTGCTTGGTCCAAAATAATTGTTTAGTAACCTGGAGGTTTAAAATAGGAAGCATCATTATTGACCTGGAATATTGGGGTATCTTTTTTCTCAGTTTGATGGATGTAGGGTCCATTTGGTGCCCATGATTACCTCCTACTCAATTACTATTCTTCTTCTTTTTTTTTTTTAAGATGGAGTCTCACTCTGTTGCCCAGGCTGGAGTGCAGTGGCATGATCTCCTCTCACAGCAACCTCTGCCTTCTGGGTTCAAGCAATTCTCCTGCCTCGGTCTCCTGAGTACCTGAGATTACAGGCACCCACCACCATGCCCAGCTAATTTTTAGTAGATATGGGGTTTCACTATGTTGACCAGGCTGGTCTTGAATTCCTGACCTCAAGTGATGCATCCACCTCGGCCTCCCAAACTCCTGTGATTACAATCGTGAGCCACCGTGCCTGGCCTCAGTTATTACTCTTGCTAGATACTCTTTACATACCCCAATCATCACACTCACCAGATTACATAATGATTATCTGTTTTTAAATCTGTCTCCTCTACTTCAGAGGAGCTCCTTGAGGACAGAGCTATATCTTCCTCATGTGTCCACCCTGGCAACTGGCACAGGGTAGGGGTATCCGGCAGCTGCCAGGTAAATTTTTTAAGCCAAACTGACAATCTCGTATGAACTGTCCTGTGCTGGACTTTGGCCCAGTGTATGGACTTGAGTTTAGAAAAAGTGAGCCACAGAAAGTATCATGTGGCCTGCAGAACTGGTCACTCTCCCCTTGCATATCATCTGTACCTTCCATGGCCTCTGCCACTGCTTATCATTTGATGACAAATTAGAGTGAGCTCCTGTCTTCCCTATTGAAACGTGAGCACCTTGAGAGGTAGAGAATTATCCCCGTGTCCCTGTGCAGAGCAGGGCTGACGGACACCTGCAGCATTAAGTGAACGAGCAAGGCCCTGACTGGTCTGTGTGCTCGCCCTGAGCCTGAGTCTACACCTCTGCTTAGCCAAAAACCCAGAAAATCTAGACCTGGCTAGAGATGGCCAGCCCCTGAAGCAAGCTCAGACTCCCTTTCTCTGAGACATTAAACATAATGGAACACTAACTCCAACACCACTCCTGAGTCTGGATAGGATTCATTGTAGCTCTGCAGTGGTGACAGTGCCGGGGGTTTATGGTTGATGGCAGATGTCAGGGATGCCTCTTTTGACCTCCTTTCTTATCTGCAGCCGTGATGACTAGGTATGGAAATGAATACTAGAGGGTATTAAAATAAGAGTTTTTCCTGTATGCCCTGAAAATCCAGGTCCAGAGGCTCCTTCCTCCTTCCAGAACCACTCACTACTCCTCCCTCAATGAAATATAATAAAATGGGATGGGGGTGTGGGGAGAAGTGATGTCAGCAGGATGGTGAAGTAGAAGGTACCAGGCCTTGTACCCTACAAAAACAATGATTCCATAACTATCCACAAATAAAAGTAGTTATGGGAGAGCTCTGAAGCCCAGTTAAGAAGCTGTAGCAACACAGTGGAGGCAAAAAAAGAAAAATGAAACAAACAAACAAAAAAATCCTGAGGATTAGTAAATAGAAAAGCGTAGGAAAAACAGTTGCATTGTAGGAAAACTATTTAGAGAGCCAGAAGACGCTAGAAACTCTGGCCACTGAGGACCACAGCAGCCCAGAAGGCGGCACAGACTATGACAGCCTTTGTCAGCAAGGACCCCTGCAATCTTTACCAACATGGGCTCCACTTGCCAGAGTTGCTTAGAGCTCACATTCCTGAGCCTCCCAAGCCAGATATACCATGACCCCCAGCTGAGACTGCCTAGTATCCACCAGAGCTGGTGCTGCTACAACCTCCTCACAGCTAGCACCACTGGGCACACACCAGACCCAGCACTACTGCAACCTCATCAAACCCAGTGTTGCCATGCACTCACTAGACCTGGCTCTGCTGCACACCCACTGATCCCAGCTTCCACTGGACCCAGCACACCTATGCATCCTGAGACCTGATACCCTGACATTCTCCCGGAGCTAATGCCCATGCATACTCTGCCCACTTGATGCCCTTGTACCCATATTCAAGTGGAGGTCTTTCATCCCAAAGCCAGTCTATAACGCCTGGAAGAAGTGACTGCTTCTTCAAATGAGCAAACACCAATGCAAGGCTATATGGAACACAAAAAGTCAGGGAAATGTGAAACCTTCGGAAGAACAAAATTAATTCCCAGAAACCAATTCCAAATAAATGGTCTATTAATTGTCTGACAAAAAAAATCAACATAATTGTTTTAAAGAAATTCAGAGAGCTGCAAAAGAAGTAGATAGAAAACTCATTGAAATCAGGAAAACATATACGAACAAAACTAGCAGTTTGACAAAAAGATAAAAATCATAAAAAAGAACCAAACAAATTCTGAATCTGAAGAATACAATGATTGACATGAAAAATGCAGTATGGAGCTTCAACTACGGATTTGTTTGAGCACAAGAAAGAATTAGTGATCTCAAAGACAGGTGATTTGGAAATTATTTAGTCAGAGAAGCAAAAACGGGAAAAGAATAAAAAAGAGTGAAGAAAACTTAGACTTATGGGACACCATCAAGCAAATGAATATGTGCATTTTGGAAGTTACAGAAAGTTAAAAGAAAAAGAAAAGAACACAAAGTTTATTTAAAGAAATAATGACTGAGGTTGCTTCCAAGATGGCTGAATAGGAACAGCTCTGGTCTGCACCTCCCAGCAAGATTAAAGCAGAAGACGAGTGATTTCTCCAGTTCCAACTGAGGTACCTGGTTCATCTCATTGGTACTGGTTGGACAATGGGTACAGCCCATGGAAGGCGAGTCCAAGCAGGGCGGGGTATCACCTCACCCAGGAAGTGCAAGGAGTCAGGGGACTTCCCTTTCCTAGCCAAGGAAAGTTGTGAGTCACTGTACCTAGGGGAACAATACACTATTGCCCAAATACTGCACTTTTCCCATGGTCTTTGCAACCAGCAGACCAGGAGATTCCATCCTGTGCCTGACTCAGCAGGTCCCATGCCCACGGAGCCTTGCTGGCTGCTAGCGCAGCAGTCTGAGGTGGACCTGGGACACTGGAGCTTGCTGGGGGAAGGGGCGTCCACCATTGCTGAGGCTTCAGTAG